GTACCACCTTTATGTTTTGACCCAACCATCAGGCATGGACTGTGCTGAGATAATTGCTCAGTTAATTCATTAAACTGCTTATATACTGACTACTGTCATTACCACACAGCCCTGTACATGTAAGTATACATTTTAAGCAAAAGTCCAGTAATTGTAAGGGGTTCAGCACCTGATCCATTGTCTACGTCTGATCTGGCTCCTGATAATGCTGCTTTACCACAAGGTGGCAATGTTGTCAAAATTATTATAATGTGGTGTAAACGTTGAATATGAGTGACAAAGTGAAGCTGGTGCTCTCAAATGCATTTAATAGTTCAATTATGAGTCAGAAAAAATTACTCACAGTACTACCACATGAAAAATAAATACAAGTAATGTTTCTGATAAAAAACTGTAGCCCTTTTTATTTGGAAACACATAGGCAAACGTATGAGAACTCATGCTACACTCAGTTGCTTTCTAGTGTATCTCTGCTACATATTTCTCTTTTTTTCTTTACTAGAAAAACTAATAAACAAAACCTAACACAGCCATCTGCCCTGATTATAGGATAAACACTACATCTTGGAAAGAATTGTGAGCTTACGCCCTCACATGCCAGTGAAAAACAACCACATTCACTCCACTCAGCTGCTCATTTGTGTCAGAAAACCATGTTTTACAAAAATTAAACACAATATCACATTTTCACATCAGTGCAATTAAACCCTGACCTGTTGGCTTTACCAACAAAAGCATGCAAGTCAATTACTTTATGAATCACTCTTATATACAAAAGGTCTGCCCACTTTCAGTGCAGCCATATTCACAAAGTACCAATCCAGGCCTATTCAAATGAAAATGAAACTGTTACTCTCACAACATAACCAATTAGATACAATTCAGATACAAATGTGAAAGCTTTATTAAGGTTCCTTCTGTGTCTTGATGCACTCATGCGGTGTTTTGTGGAAGTCATTGAGCTGTGCTTCCTTATTTGCAGGACATGTATTGTATATGAGGCATTTTAATAAAATATAGTGGTACATTCCCATGGGATTTTATTGCTGTCTTTATAATCCAAAACTTCAACATCTGTCTCTTATCTTGTTGTGTCTGTCCTTTGCTTGCCTGAATGTCAGCTACCAAACCTGTCTCTCTCTGTCTCCCTCTCCATCTCTCTCTCTCTCTCTCTCACACACACACGCACACACACACACACACACACACACACACCATCCACGCTGCATACAGGTTCTCATTTTAGACTCTGCAGGCTCTTGCAGGTCCCCAGGAGAGGGAGCAGATTAAGGTCCAACAGTAGTACATCATCAGAAGGAACTGCAGTATTTTCTGCTGCAAGACAACCTTAAAACACCCTTCTTCTGAACACAGCTCTTACCACAGTCCGAATTTGTAACAGGGATGGGGATAGAAAAAAAATGCAGCCAGCTTTTCAGAATCTAAAATTAACACCGCCTACTATTTTTGTACACTTCCAGATTTTCACCTCAGAAATGAATATTTTTTTGCTCTTTGTTATTCTAACTTGACCACTGCTCCCATAAGCTCAAATAAATCTCAGTATTTCCAGTGTCAGCATCCATTTTTGACCTTACTGAATATGACATATTCAAAAGGAAGACTCACTGATATTGCTGCCTCTCTGTTTTGAGTCTCATAAACAGTTTCCATGCTATCAGATTCAGCTACAGACACACGACAGACCAGGACCTACTGCTCTGTAATTTGTCTTCTTCAAACTGTCTAGTTGAAGTGAGAAAAATAACTGTGCTATGGTAATCCTATTGGTTTTCACCTGCATCCTCTTCTACCTCCTTCCTTGCATCTTTGACAGAATTTGACCAGGAAGTGGCTGGATAACCATGTATGAAATATTTGTCTTTTACAGCGCAAGAGTCTAATAAACCTCATTAAGAAAAATCAGCTCAGTAAAGCAGGAGGCCACAGGGTAGTTTTTCAGCCATTTAGATAAACAGTCCTTTTCTTTACTGCCACTTCACTCCTGAGGTGAGAGGGGTGGAGGCTGCTCTCAGGGTCACATGATGGTGCAGCGATTCCTCTGTAGCGCCCCCTGCAGACGGATGGAGGTGTGGTTCTGGCGCATGCCCCGCGCCACGGCAATGCCCAGCAGTTCTTTGAAGAGCAGGACTACGTGCCAGTTAAACTTGGCGGAGCACTCCACATAACCGCACTTCCAGGTCTTCTTCACCAGCACTGACACTGCCCTGCGAGGCATGAAGCGTTGCCGCTGCAGATCTCTCTTGTTGCCTACCACCAGGATTGGCACCTCACTGCTGCTGCCTTCCCTGTGGGATTACGTGAGAGGCAGAACGAGGAGGAAGGTTAATTTCATAAAGCACAGTTATTATCTTAGTGTTTGTCATAGTGGTTGGCACAAGGTGTCTGCGTGCACTTTTTCCTTCCTTGGGAGGTGTGTGGGGGTGGACTGGAGGATTAGAGCTCACATGCTCAAGGGGCCTCCTACCACATTCTGCAGCAGCTGGTTGTACAGCATTATGAAGTGTGAACCTGTATAGCAAGCCAGAGGTAGGCATAAATGACTGATTTAACACTTGGGCTTGTAATGTGTAGTCCTGTAGTGTTAATGAACAACATCACTGTCAACCTGACTGGAGGTGGTTTGGAAATCCAGTCTGATGCCCACTGTAGCTAGGAGAGAATGGCAGTTTAGTACGGGAATGTAGAAAAAGTAGAAGAATTGGACTGTATAGCAAAATCTATAAAGGAACAAAGGCTGATAATATAAATGTGATTTCTAACAATGAGCTATATCTTTGCCGTTTAGCTGGGAGCTAAAGTCACTTGAGCTGGAAGCCTTAATTATTGTTTTTATGAAAAATAATAATAGCATAATAATAGCATATTAATTAAAATTCAAATCTGTAGAAGGGCAAGTCAATTTCATTGAGGACTATTAAATCAGGTTTATTATGAAAATAGAATGAGCAGTGATGTGTGTAAGATATAAAGTGTCAGCTGTTGATTTAAATAAATAAATTATTAAAGCTGCTGTCTTCACACTTTCTTTTTGGCACAGCGTGCCTCATCTTCTGACAAGGACTTGCATACATATGCATATTTGTGCATCACATGGGCCAATAGCTGACAGAGAGAAAGACACAGATGCAGTAAAATTTTTAAACCCTGGGGAGACGTTCTGAAAGATATGGAGTTGAAAGACACATTTCTGTAATCATCTCACTTTTCCCTTTCATTTTAAAAATATCTCCAAGCTGCGTCAGAATGCAATGTACAGTACTGTATGTGCCGGGGTGTGTGCATCTGTTTGTGAGAACTGGGAGAAACTGTACAGAAGAGATGCAGGGACGCTACGCTGTCAGACTTCACAGAAATGAAGGTAGGCTGGTAGAGGGCTAAAAAAAAAAATACAGCAGATATTCTGGTTTGAATGAGATACATTCTATATAGCTGACATCTACAGTGGAGTATAGTTCAGCCACCCTGCCCTAAAACAGCCTCAGCTATTCATGATTTGAGTTTATATGTAGTATTTGTCCTGCTTTTTCTAATTCCTCCCCCTTTCTGGCCTCAGTCCTTTGATTGCTCCTTATTTTCCATTCCTCTTGCATTCTCCCTTCCTTCGCCAGCTGCTGGTGATAATGGTTTTCGGTCGGGGGGCATAAACATTCATGGGAACACATTTGGAGTCACAGGAAGAGTGGAATGAACTCTGCAGTGCCAGTGTGGTCATGTACCACAGAGCAAATGAGGCCACTCATTTCACACTGTATGCAGGTTTGCCAACAGTGAGGGCGATAGCGCAGGTGATGCCTTTACACCTGTAGTGTTCTGTCCTTTTGGCTCTTGTTTTGGGTCAAAGGTAGCCAGGAGACATTTAGTGTATGCTCTCAAGCCTCCTGTCTTTTGCTTCTGTATTCTGTCAAATAAAAGCAGTAGTATCTTAAAAATAACTTTTAAATCACATCTCAGGCAGCTTTCATCCAGCAATGCCAAAATTAAGTGTCATTACTGTCATGATGCAGGGAGGAGTATGCCAGTTTAAAAGATATCATCACAAGCAGGCTGTCTATCAGTGTCACTAATGTATAATTGTACAGCTTTGTGGAAGGGCTGTGAAATTGTATTCTGTCTCCAGACAGGTGTCATTTTAAAAAAATCACCAATGAGGGTTAAAAAAAAGCTGCATATCAGTGATTGTTCACTAAATGACAGAGCAGTTGAGTGTGTGTGGTTGACCATACCTGTGCTCTACTATCTGCTGTCTGATCATTTTGACATATTCAAAGCTCTCCACACAGCAGATGTCATACACCAAGATGTAGGCGTTGGCATTGCGAACACCTCTGCAGCGCAAATCCAGCCACTCCTGAAGGACACAAACACACACACACGTAAACATAAATACACAAACCAATAAACATGGACTAGAGAAATTTTCAGTATGCTAGTGACATGGGTGTAGGGGTGGCATCACTTTGTCATTCAGTCGCTTTACTACTTTGGTCAGACTTAAATATCTTGACAGCTATTGGATGGATTGCTTTGAAATTTGCTGCAAACATTCATGGAGCCCAGAGGATTAATCCTAACTAATTTGGTGATCACCTGACCTATTATCTAGTGCCAACAAAATGAAATATCTCAACAGCTGCTAGATGAATTGAAACATTTTGTACATACACTTTGGTCACTTCTGACATTTACTCTAGAGACATTTAGAGATATTTAGGGTTGATTGTCATGACATTTGGTACTATCATATCCCATGGAGGATGAATTCTAATGACTTTGCCAATCATTAAATCAAACATTTTTGATAACCTACTTGTAGTACTTTGTTTTTAGACGAAATACCTGCAAAACTAATGTCATTCTCATCACCTTCAGCTGTAATTTGTGTTTATAACTACAATATGTAACTTAAGGTAGCGCTAGCATGAAACTCCAAATCAATCCACTCTGCTCTGCCCAGCACTCTCTCTCCCTGCTCCACTATGATCTATGACGCTCCGCCACGCTCTGTCCAGCTCTTCTGATATTTGTCATTATGAAATTACAAGTAATAAAGAATATAACAAAACTTATTGATGAAGCAGAAATAGTGGAAAATCGCTGATTGGTTAGGGAAGTCAGTCCCACTCAAAAACTTTTAGAAGCTAATATCTCTGCACTGCTGCCAGTGATGTTCAATGAGTCTGGGTCACAGGAGGCTTCGACAGCACCTCTCCACATTAAGACAAGTTTTGGAGCAAATTTCTACAACAAAGATATTTCGAAAAGTTACATACTGTAGCTTTAATGCTAATTAGCAACTGTTAGCATACTAAGTCGCTAAACTAAGAGGCTAAAACACTGTGCATTAAATATTATTATTAGTAAATAGCATTATCAGTGTGAGCATATTATCATACTGATGTTAGCATTTAGCTCACAGCTGTGACTGTAAGTGCAGCCTTGCAAAGTCGTTAATATATAATGCACCTTAAAACAATAATAGTAGAGGGCAGGCAGCTAAACAACAGTGTGTGCTTCTGTAATTATGCTAAAGTACTTTGGCTCAGTGTAGTGTGATTTGCCTGGTTCAGCTGCTTATCCTTTGTGAGAATGTGCAGAGTCAGTGAACTCCCAGACCTGGCATGGTTCTGGGAGTTTCAGAGCCTAGAACAAAGTCATAAAACATGGTCACTGCCTACTGGAAAGCACTGAACAGTGTCCTAGCTACACGTGTCCAAGGACGACACCAGAGGTTACAGCAAACACAACCTTCTGTCAGAAGAAGTAAAAGGAGCACATACTAATGTACAACGTTTGTTGCTGCTTGGCTAAGCTTTGTAACACAGCAGGGCAGCCAGTAATATTTGTTCAATGGTAATGAGTTTCAAACTGTAATTAAAACACATAGCACAAGTGGGTACATTTACACCTTACTGGGGTACAGGTGCTTCAGTAAAAAACACAATGACCCATTCTTCTATTCATGCTGTTTCGCACCACCACCATCACCTTCTCTGAAATTAACAGCATGTAATGAATTTATAAGCATTTGATCTGATCAAAGAGCAAGAGGGGGGGAAAGCTGTGCTAAGGGAAACAAGAACACAAATGCAGCCCTGAGAGAATGTTAAAAGGATGAAAAAGGCAGCGATGGGATCAAGGGATGAGTAGAGAGGGTGTCAACACATGTGCCTGCATATGACTAATCTGGTCTGGAGGCTGTGACTGTCAATTCAGTTCTGTTTTATTCTATTCTGTTCTAGTTGGTTTGATTTCATTACACTGAATATGATTTATCAAGCAAATAGTGTGCTCTATAATCTCTATATGAAATAACATTCAGTGCAAATTGTTGTAATGTAATGCAAACTACTGTATATGACATTGGCAGTATTAGGTGAGATGACTGATACCACTCTTTAAACTGTATAATTACTCTGCAATATATAATTTCATAAAATATCTTTTCATCACACACTCAGAATTTAAACATATATAAGACATGTATAAGACCACTGCTGGAACAAATTTTGTCAAAGCTGTTCTGCTTTGGCGTAGTTAATAATTTGGGTTTGTAATTTTTGATTGAAGCACCTGTACCTACCTCACGCACAGATGATTTGACCTCTTTGGAGCTCTGGTTGTTGCATCATGCTTCTTTGAAAACTCAGATATGAAAATGTTGATTGGTAGGTCCCTTAATTTTTATGCCTCTAATCAGCATTTGAGCTAATATGACCCATGTTTGTAGTAGTACTTGAGGTGATGATTGATTTGTTACAGTGTTGAAGTCATTTTCCATATGGTGTTTACATTATTTCTTCCACCTCCTGCAACAGCTTGTGCAACTTTGAAATAGGAATGTGAGAAACCTAATTACATTGATGCCAGGGTCGGAAAAATATGCTGTTCAAACCAACATACTACACAAATAGGATCAAGTGATAATTGGTGACAGAGGAGGCTAAGGGAGCAGACAATGATCGGTGTAACTTCTAATAATAATAATTATAATAACAACACCAACACATCTGTGGCAGTGAGGAATAATTTGTAAAAAAGATTTTTAGTGGGTTTTTTTTAGGTTTAGTGATTGAGAGGATGAGACAGATTCACACATCAGCAGAGAGATAATGAGGCCGATCAAACATAGAGACAAACATGTGGCACAAAGAGCGCTGCCATCAAAAGTGAAAGAGAAGGCAGAGAAAGGGAGGAAGTAAGAGGGGCAGTGTGTTGTGAAAACTGATAGAAAGTGTGATTATTTTCTGTTTCTCTTTCCAGGTTGCAAAGAGAGAGCGAGAGAAACATGTCACAGAAGGTATGATTTCTGCTGCCATCTTTTCATGTCACTTCTGTTGAACAGCATCCAAATACAATCTACATCCAAAATTCTGTTGGGCAGGCAAACACCTCAGAACATCTATTTTTGCCAAGCAAATAAACATATCTTTTATCGTACCTAGCAGATTGTCACAGATCACCCTTTTCTGATAATTAAGGCAGCTAACGATATGAGATGCACACACTGGCTTCAGCTAAAGCCTCATATCCCTGGGGCTAAAAATAGCAGCTTGTGTTCTCATCTCATATCTCTTTGTCATCCTGTTTTTAAATGTGGAGGAGGGGCCAGAAACAACAACACTACTTCTGTTAAACCCAAACAAGAAATGCAGGCAAAACAGAGAGATGAAGAACTACAGTAGATGTGGGAGGCCACGCCAGTGTAGCAATACATGGCTGAGCTAATTGAAATCAAACATTTAAAAATGTGTGTGGGTATGTTTATTTGTGTGTCCTTGCAGGATGTGAGTGTGTGCTCGTGGGAGCATGAATATGAAGTGTGGTGCCACTGTCTGTATCCTCCAGTCAGTCTTCTTAACACGGCACAGAAAAAGAGCATCCCATCCATCGCTCGTCAAGAGCCAAACAGAATGTTTCCCTGACAACCACAGGCCGTGGTCACTTTTTAACAGGATATGACAAAGCTATCATGTCTACTGATATTAAAGGGAGGCAGCTTAACAGTAATGACTGGTTTTGACAGATCAATACTCTAAGGACAGCAGGAAGGCTGGTATAACATGGTGGGGAAGGGTGCTGAGCAGGTAGGTATGGGTCTATTTCACAGACGGGCCATGCTAGCTGGTTTGCCATTAAAACCTATTACATTTCATGGGGATTAAACTCCCATCACTCAGTGATGACCATTAAAATCCATAAGTTTGATTGCTCTTGTAAGTAATTCCCTTTGTATGAAGTGATATGGGAATAATGTTCTATTGCTGCACACACAGAATCACAAAAGACTACTTATAAAAAGGGATCAATTATGGCTCATCTTTGGAAATTTGATTTTCAAAACTGGAGCTAACAAGGACTCTACACAAGTTGAAACAGCTTTAAAGGAATAGTCTGCCGTGTTCAAAAATACACTTCTTCTCTACACCTCCGTAGCTAGAGTTAGATGAGAAGCTTGATTGCACAAATACAATTAAACTAACGTGAATGAACACCGAAAAGACACGTGTTGATCATGACTGAATCAAAAATGAGAAAAAAATGAGCACACACTGAAAGCTTCCATGATATTTTTAAAAATTATAGCCAACATTTTGACCATTGGTCTTCTTCAAAGCAAATGAAATAAGTTACTAGTGGCAAGCAAATTTTTATGTGATGTGTAGAAACATCTGTGTGAATTCACTGATGATGTCACTGATTATAAATTGTTCTCAGGTGTGACGTGAGCACATAATTGTTTGCTTGCCTGTTTAGACTGCTGTGTCTAAATGTTGGCTATCATTTTTAAATAAATCATGAAAGCTTTCAGTGTGCGGTTATTTTTTGTATTTTAGATTAAGCTCGACACTGCTCTCATATTGAGACATTACAAATTAAGCTACGGTCAGCTAAGATAAGTGGTTTAATTTAGCATAAAAAGGAGAAACACGGGCAAATGGGCTCTTTCTGAAGCTTATGATTAACAGGTTATATCTTTTTTTATTTATCCATTAAAAACATGTAGAAGCAAAAACAACAATTTGGAGATTATGTGAATTCTTTAGAAATGGTGGCTCTAGGCTTTTGTTACCTTTTACCAGCAATTTCCCCTTCTTTCCGGTCGTTATGCTAAGCTATGCTAACCGTCACATGGTAGCATCATATTTAGCATGCAGACATGAGAGTGGTATCAATCCTCTTGTCTAACTCTCAGCATAAAGGCAAATAAGTGTCTTTCCAAAAATGTCAAATTATTCTCTTAATCATGCTTCAGCAGTGACTGTATTCACTCTATTGTAAATAATTAATAATTCATTTTTTAATGTTTCTATCCTAAGCATGCAGAATTTACACTTACAGTAGGCTAAGTGTTAGTGATGTGCACTTTGTTTAATTTTGTCATCCAGTAAAACTCATATCAGCAAAAATTTTGTTACACACTTGCTCATGTACATTCATTATATTTCTACTGTGTCTGATGAGAGTCAAAATTACACAATGCGCCACTTTATCACAGACTGTATTGATAAAGAGAACTCATAAAAATGCCCAGAGAGAGCAGGAAAGGGAGAGGGAGCATTTTGTGTGGGAGGACATCATGGTGGTATATTATAGCAAGAACATTAAAATAAAAGAACAAGAAAAATCGAACTCATCGTCAGGTTTAAATCCATCTGTCATCACATCCTACTGACACACAGTGACAGATGCACCGAAAAAGCAATGAGGGTATAGCACCAAACAGACATAGCCTACCACAAAGCAACAAAATCATTGCACCATCACAGCCTCATAGAAAATAGAAATCCTGCCTGTCTCCAGCATTGAAAAGGATAAAAATAACTGTATTTGTGGTTGAAATGGGGTCACAAGTAGCCTGCGAGAACATAGCTCTTCTTATTTCAAACATAATCTAAACTGATGAGAAATTGCCACACTGCATAAGTATGGGGGTGTACTGACTCACTCCATTCTGTGGCTTATTCATCACAAATTTCAAAGGATATTAAAAAACCTCATTTGGTAACCTTTACTTCAACAGTGTCCATTAAACTTTGTGCAACCTCTCTAATTGACTGCAAGAAATTCCGACTGTCTCCTCTGTTGGTCTTTTATTCCCAGCTGTGTTCTAACAGGGAACTATGCTTTAATTCAATCTGCTGTGTACTGAAAGTAAATTTCAATCAGGCGTCTTTGTGCTAGCACTACTCGCCATTCATTGCATCCACTGCCACTGACACAGGTTACATTTCTCTGTCTATGAAGTGAATCCAGAGTTGGGAACTGAATAAAAAAAATGTTCCATGTCTCATTACTGCTCTCACTGTGAATAGACGATATCACCAGACAAAATTAGAAAGATGGTTTGAGAGCATGCAGGAGAAGACAGGAGATGACAGGAGTAGAGAAAAAATAAAGTACAGCAGGCCTAACAGGGTCGTTCCTCAGCAAATTACTAACCATAAGTCTCTTATAAAAATGTTGTGGCAGCACTTAGCTAATGGTTTTCTCTGATTGTATACCTTTCACAAAGTACTTGCCAAACAAGCACCTTCTCACTGACTGTAAAATGATCATGAACTGTTCACAGGCAATAAAATACAGTGATATTAAATAATGAAAACTGCCTGTGCTTTTAGAGGTTTGTCATGTGATTCAACCTGTGGGACATACACACCCACTCCCACTCATGAGACTCATCTTGTCTTCTCCCTGCTTTCTGTTCACAGCTAGCAGCTTGGGGTTAAGCAAAGAAACAAGAGACTCATCCAGAAAGCTTTTATAGAGGGTCTCAGTGGGCAGGAAAGAACAAAGCATGCTACAGACCACTTAACACCTTCTAACAAAATGTTCTACCAAAATCTGGTAGAATAGCTACATGCTTTTCTGCAGCAAACTAACAAGATGATTGCTCTGGCCACTCAGCCTGCCTGTCAGATGTTTTCTCCACTAACACTGTGCTTTCTGAGCGCATAGCAAACTAACACTTTGGGAGGCCTCTCGTTCAAGCTGCTCTTTTTTTTTTGTCTGCTCCTCCGACTAAGCTCATTTTCTCAGAGGCACCTTGTCTGCGTAGAGCTGTTCTTGAGAGGGCTGTGTCTTACACCTAAGGGAGGTAACAGAGGAAAATGTGCAGCAGTAGCAGCCATCAGACTGGCGTGGTGACCTTGGAGAGTTCTATCTTGAAAGCATCAAAGCCTCAATAAATGAGGCTGCAATAGAGAGGAGTCCAACACATTTCAAGTTAACAAAGACTTGTTTCAACACCCAAGGGCATTCCACACTCATAATATCTATACTTTTTAAATACTTTTGAAAAAAGACAAAGAGGAACTTATTGTACCAAGAGGCTTTTCTGTCTTGAAGGATACGGTTCACACTATTTCAAGTCTTTTGCAGAAACAGTAATGACATTTTTGGATGCAGTAACCCCTGGATGCCTATTTGTTATGAAGAGATCACTACCTAATTTTAAATCAACTTTAAGTGATGGGGGACATAATCTTCATTCTGTGTAATAAGGTAATTTCAAGTTTATTCAAAATCAGTATAAGGCAAATAAAATGGATTCTTTCTGAAGTTTCGATCATTTTGGTCCCAAATTTCCACTTTGTGTTTTCACAGTGGTGGAATACAAACAAAAAGACAGAATGTTGGACAAAACAAAATCTTTTAAAAAACCTACTTGATTCGGACTGTTGAGAGTTTGTCTTGGCATTTGGCTGAACTGTAAAGCACATTTTTAAATTTTGACTTCCATTGTTTACACAGGAATTGCATTAAGAAGAGACCTCTTCGGGGTAGTACAGGAGGAACAATTATTGCATTCAGTAAGGCATCGAACATTTGTTTTATTTTGAAAAATGTGAATCTATCCTTTAAAGAAAAAAACCTACAGAAAAGAAAAACTAAAATACGGTCTGAGATATCCCCAGTTCTTGGTAATGAGACAAAGCAACAAATCTGTTTTGCAAAATGACTACAGACCCTGAATGTTTGGAGCTAGGGTGTTTTTTTGCTATGATAACTCAGATTCGTCTCTAGCTAATGAGATGTGGCATCTGACCTTTGGCCATGAATAAAAGGGTAGTCTGTTCTATTTTTAGACTGAGAAGTTAACCAGGTGCTGTGGATATGCCTGCAGCACAACTCTGTCATTGGTTTCTATGCAAATACAAGCCAGATTCAACACAACCACCAGCAGCATATTGGTAATCAGCTTATCTGAATGTATCAGACATTGAAGGAGTCTGTAAAGGACATGGTATAAATAATAAACAACAACATGCAAGCTGTCATTCCTTCAATGTGACGGGGGTTGAGAGAGAGAGAGAAAGAGAGAGGGAGAGAGTTTACAACGTCAAAGTGAAGCTCTTCGAGCCTTTAAGTCAGTCGGGTCTCCATAGCAACTAGTAGACCAGCGACATCTGATAGTGATAGAATAAATAAAATTGGTGGCTTTGTATGTGATAAATACAATTGGCTGCGAACAGGCGGGCACTAAATCTCAGGCAATCTGCGCCCTCTGTTATAAAGTAAAATCTTTTGGAAGAGGCGCCAATCTAAGTCCTGAAACAGACATGATACCTGGCTGGAGCTTGAAGGAAAGGAGGAGATTGGCGGGACGTCCAAAATCTTCAGCTCATACATGTTCCCGTTCAGTATGACGGAGGGTCTGTACACATATCTGGTTCTGGTGGGCGTGTACACCTCCGAGAAATCGTTATAGATGAACTGGCGGATTATAGAAGTTTTCCCCACTCCGGGAGCACCGATGACTGCGATACTCAGCGTCTCCACCATTCCTGGAGCACGAGTTCAGCACCATGGACAGCGACGTCAACAACGACAGATGTGATCGTCCAGAAAACACAGCTGGCCGCCGCTGTACTGTTGCTGCCCCGATGGAATTTTAAACCCCCCGCTGCCCCTTTTAACCAGCAGCCTCTAAACCACCTTAACTGGGTTCAGCTGCGTGCGATTAACGAACCAGTGACCGATGAATTCATCTGCCCATCGAGCAGAGCGAAGAAACTTTATCTCGAGGCTGAGGGTGAAAAGAGGGAAGCCACGCAGTTTTGGAGATTGTCAAAAATAAAGCTCAACCATGATCACGCTGCCTCTGCAATCCAACACAGAGAGAAACTCTTGGTTTTCCGGGGACAGCTCCAGGCAACCTCGTCCCCAAAAGGAAGCGAAAAAGTCCGTCCTTGGTGTTTCCACATGGACATAATCTCATCCAGGCTAGACTCTGACCTTGCCCAAACGCACAGGAGCCCTCGATGTCTTCACTGATGATCTCCTCTGCGCCTCACACACATTTCCACTGATGCACCACCACCGTGCTCCTCCATCACAGGGAGGACGGGCGCGCAGCAGCCAGCCTGGCAAATAAGCTTTCCACGTGGTCTGAAATTTGATACAACCCCATGATCTTGCGTTCTTTTCGATGGCAGAAAAATTACTTTACATCTATTTAAGGGAGCAGACCCAAACCACACAGCCTACAGTTATGCGTTTTCTCTAAAGGCTTCTAGAGCTTATCAACGAGTGTGTCTGCAGTTGGAGAGGCACGAGCTGGTGAAGACTGTCTCTCTCTCTCTATCACTTGCAGTAGACCTATCCTCTGCACTGTTCAATCCAATAGGATCACGTCGTACGCAAGGCGTGTGAGGGCTTTGCGCTCCCATACGCCACAAATAAACGGCAAAGGAATAGGCCACACGCTATATATCATCAGTGTGTGGGTCACTGAGAGGCGGCGCAAGGCTGAACATCATATCTCTGAGGGACACGACTTATTATTGGAGAGCGTCCTCTGGGCCGAGGGTTAGGACGATGTGACTATCAATCACTGCTGGGTGGCAACGGCACACAATATCCACCGCTCGCTGAAGTGACAAGACTGAGGAAGAAACATTACACATTTTATGGTCACTCAGAATAACTGGAGATCAGCTTGTAACCTCGGAAACAGGCCAGTGGTTTTCAAATCCTATGCCACTTTCGAATAAGGCCCCGTTTAAGGATTGTAACTTTCAAGCTTCCTCAGTGGTTAATACGTCATTTAGCAATGCTTATATATTAGCTAGAAGCGAACAGGTTAAATAGAAACACCGAGGAGTCCAGGTTATGGACAGTGTTTATCAAGGCTGGATCTCAGGGGGAAACAACCTGGGACCCCAAAACCCACGGGTCAATACGTGGCTGCTACTTTGTGGTTGTTTTTTGAAGTTATTTAGTGATTTACACCATTAAAAGTAAATCTAAACTGACTTAGGAGAAGGGCCTTTAGATTATTACCCAGTTTTGAGGCCCCTGTCCTCTTCCCGTGTTCACCCGTGTTATCACAAAATAACTGGCACAAAGCAAACCTGAAGGCAGGTAGTATTCAGCTGTTTGGCTTTTTAGGCTGAATGGACTGTGTGAGGGGAAAAAAGCAGCACAGAGGATTAGTTCAAACCATCCTTTGTGTTCTGTTATAATGCAGTTATGCAGTAAATATGGATTATTCATTTACAATTTAAACTTTTATTCAATTATTCATTAACAGTTTAAACCTCTATAAAGTCTATATGTACTGACACTATACAGTCATTTACAATTATAGCTGCCCAATACATTAACGTTTTCAGGCACAAGTGTTAAACCATTTTTAAATGCTCATGAACTGCTGGTGAATGCTAAATATGATGGCTCAAAGTGTGTTATTGTAAAATCTATTCTTTGCAGTGTGAAAAATAATTTAAAAAATAAGCTGTACATATAACTGAACAAAAGAGTAAATAAAAAAAGATTAGGGCTTTTTTATGCTGACCTTGAGTATTTTCAAAATTTTGTCTTTGTTCCTAGATACACTTTTGTAAATCTATAAAGTGGAAAATACACAACTATTCTCTTGGTATAACCATGTTCGTGTCAGTGGTTTGTAGTCAATAGTAACTCCTTTATAAAGAGGGAGTCTTTACCAAAATGCACTGCAGTGGCACCCGCACCAACACATACAGTAGGATGAATATATTGTATTGGCTCATTCAATAGCTGAAGCAAGCGGGACATCATCGAAGCCTTGTGTCCCAGGTCTTCTCTGGTCAATGAGTCTGCATTTATAAACACATGCAACTTTTGTCATTCACAGCAGAACTGATTTGAGACGAGTGCTGTTTGTGCTCCCCCTTAGCTGAAATCTTGGTTCAACTTTCCTAAGCAGGTCGGACTTTAAAAACCCTGTATATGTATCAGAGGAGCTGCTATGCCATAAACCTTCACTCAAGGCTGAACAACCCAGAGGCCCACTGCTGACTTTGCATGCAAAGCTGCAAAGTCTGTACAGTCTGCAACACCGGAGCTGAGCCGAGCAGCCCATGAGAGAAGGGGCATGAACACCCCAAAAGGTCATCAGTGCCTACAGTGAGTTTTGTGTGTGAAAAGTGGGACCGCTTCCAGGGACTTCTGGAATGTGGACTTTACTAATAAAACTGAGATGACATTATGCATCCTTTGACACTTTGGCAGAATGTGTCACTAAATTCTATTTTTTAGCACTGGAGTTTTGACTATTATTCTGCCTTAATGTCCAAATATAGGAATGGGAAAAAAAAAACTTGTCACGTGAATAAGAGTTTTAATAGTTTTTTTTTCAAATGATGTACAGACAATGAACAAAATCATGTCAACCAGCACGTAATTAAACTTTTTTTTGTTGCAGCATTTCATATGACTCAGCCATCACCACACACAAAGACACAGATTCTGTGTACGCAGCCACCTCTGTTGAAATGTGTTAATGCGTTAGCGTGGGCGCACATATCCTGTAGAGCTGATGAAAAGGGCTTCAGAGCAAAGACTCAAAAAAAAAGGAATCCAATTAATCTGTAGTCTGTGGGTAACACAGAAACACTGGATGTTGTTCCATTCCTGTTTCAGCTATGACAGTGTGTGCTACCTGCATATACACTTATTATCACAAGTGTTACAAACCATGACATCAGTTCTCACCTGAGACTTCACCTCAGGTGGCCATGGTACTTGAAGAGAGAGCAAAGTGGCAGAGAGAGCCCGAGTTGTTGTCACTGATACAGAGGGAAGCAGTATATACAAAATCTTCAACACCTGAGGCTCTCTCCCAGTTTGCCACATGTACACTGTCAAGACGACAAACACAAATTAGACCATGGAATGACTCAGAAAGAGAGCAGTCAGTGGATGGCTGCTGCTACTTTATAAATTGTCCAGATATGGATGTAAAAATTAAAAAGAAACACACCAACACTGTTGCCATGCATACTGCACACATCAGACATTCTGCTCTTGGGGACAGCAGAGGATCTGCTCCCACTGCTAACCACAGATGCCTAAGGGACATCTATAAAATGACAACAATAATGTAGTTTTCGTAGTATCTAATTATTTATGTGTCTCTTCTAAGGCCCAGTCAGCCATCTTTCATGTTGCACAGACAGAAGGGTAAGGAGAATTAAAGCCTTTTTTATTGCTGCATTTTAACTGAAAAGTACCCCTTATAAATATGCTGACAGTGATGATCCACCTGCTGATTGCAGATGCTAAAAACAGACTCCAATTTGCAGAGGAGTGGGGCTAGACAGTGATTAAAGAGCCTCATGCAAGGGGGGAAAAAAAGTCGCAGGAAAACAAGCAGGGAGAAGTGAAGGACCTACTCAGTTCATTTAGATAATTTATACATGTATTGTGCTGAAACTGAAACAAAAAACACACCAAGAAGGGATAAGATAATGCTAGCCAAGAAAGTGAACCAGAAATCTCTGCAGTCTTGGAAAAATTAAGAAGCAAAACAAAGTTGATGATAGTTCAAAATGGGAAAACAGATCATTAACCATCCTAATTAAACAGCTGCATGACAAACAGAGTGCAGCCTGCAGGCCCAACATAGCAGGAAGTGGTGCCTGCGCTGCGTGACAATGGACTATGGTCCATGGGTGAGGGGAGAGAAGGAGAGACAGCAGCACAGTAGTCAGGGGGCCATTTTTCAATTCTTCAGCACTGCCTCGTAACTCTGGAACACACACTGGGAAACCTCTGGAGCTCTGCACTTTAGACAGACCTGAGGGAGAGAAGAGTCAAGCAGAGGTGAACATCATTTATAAAGATACTGTACTACAATTCAAGGTTTACAGATACACATCAGGTTACCAGAGAAATCAAGTTACATAAGCCTTTGACAACAAGACAGAGCTGAGAAGCTAATACTGCTGTATAATTTAACATAAATGGCACAAAGAAACAGGAAAAACACTAAAACATGCAACCTCCCAAAAATGTAATGATACAGCTTTTTAATCTAGGGTAGGGTAAGACTTTGTTGATCCCACAATGGGGAAATTCCATAAAGATCTATAAAAGGTTTTAATGAGGACAAGTCTGATGTAAACACTTGATATTTCTAGAGCTTCATGAGCATATGGTGTAAACATGGCCATAATAAATAATCAGAATAACATCATTGTCTGTTTAAATGCCCTCTTTTACAGGATACACAGTTTATTACTTTGAGGGAGAAAAAAAGCAGCTTTGGATTGAAAGTCTTCCATTCAGGCTCAGACATAGTCAGACACATAAAAACATGAGAGAAAGCAGATGCAGCCTCTCCACTCTGAGGCTAGTCTCAGCTGGGAGTAGGTATAGGATTTGACACAGCCTCATGAAGCAAGTTTTTTTTCTCCTGCAATCATACTGCAATTACACTGCATCAGTCATTTCCTCAGAACCAGAAACAGTCTTTACAGGAAACTAAAAGGCAGCTGGAGCTTTGGAACAACTGTATCAAGGCAGATACTGCTATGATAACGCATTAAACTCTTAATAATGAATACAAAGTACAAGGATTCAGAATAATTTCAAAATTTTCACAGCCGCTGCACTGTCAGAACTAGATGTGCTTTGTCCTATGACAAATGGAACCCATAACAGCCCACATGTCTCTGTGATGTGATGTAAAGGCAAGAAAACAAGCTGCATTTTTCTTACCCTGACCAACACACACACACACACACACACACACACAATCTCAGGAGCAGCTCTGCCTCAGTGTTTTTCTTGTAGCTTTCATCACTGTCATTTCTTAGAATCACATTTGTTCCGCTGAAAAATTGTTTTAGGGGTCACTGTGTGCTAAAGGGTATCAAGCACACATGCACTATGACTATAAAAAACTACATATAAAAAAAAAATAAGACATCAAAATTGCCTGCGGAGCTGGAAATATCTGTCCTTTCATTTGACTTATTGATCTTTTATTCCCTTGAATTTCTTAAAGTATTCTGGGCAATCTCTACCTGTTATTAGACAGTGAGAGAAGAGGGGTGACAAGAAGAAGAGGGAAGAAAATGAGAATGACATAATAATGCACTCCAAGGTCACCAGAACAACCCTGTTTCCTTGACTTTAAATGTTCACTTCATTGAATTGTTTTTTTTTTTCTGAAATATTTTTAGCTGTACCGTGTACTTGGTGGCCATTTAATTTAGGTTTTGAAAACAAAACAAACTGACTTTTACCTGATTTTGTTTGACATATGTATAAATGGAAATCGGGAATTACAGTAGCCTAGTAAGCGCATCCAGTTTCACATCTGTGTGTGTGTGTTTTTAAGCCAGGGCTACACACACAAGATGCAGAGCACAACAGAAAGAAGCGTTTGTTTTTGGCTGTATTCACATAAAATACTTCTCACCTTCCCATCCTTAGTATCTAGGTTTGATATTCCACTATCCTGATGCTGTAATTGTTTTGTCTTTCAGACTACCAGACAAAACAACAAGAAAAAAAGTTATGATCCACTGACAAGCGATTTGGTAGGTCGCTGATGTGCGTTTCACACCTGGCTGCTGCTTGACTCACTGAACACACACATCAAACAAAAGTGAAGGACTGTGTTGTGGTGGAATAAAGCAGTAATGTTGCACAGCTCCTTCAGAGTGTAGAGGCAGCGCTTGACTCTTTACTAATACATGGTACTTCTGGCAGAATTTAGACAGCGACAGTCATGGAATGAGCGCTAATGTTCTAGACACTGATATTAAGAAAGCTTGATACAGCAGCGTTCATGTGTTCAGCTAAAGACTCGTTACCAAAATATTAATATTATACTGGGTACACAGGCAGAGATATAAGAGACAGAAGGAACAGGGAGCAGCAGTGATGACAACACCTAAAAGCGTGCATGTGGTATGGCCTGAAAGAGACTCGTTATTATGCGGGATTCTTTCACCATGCCAAAACAATGAACCTGAAGTATGAAGGTGAATGCACAACTTTGCATTTCTAATGCAAATGCTTAGTTACCAAAATGACAGTATCAGATGTGAAGTGACCTCCAGTGAGACACAGGTACATTACTAATCACACAAGCAATTGACCAGCCTGAAAAACACTGCAGGAGTTGTTGTGAAACCTGCATAAACAGGGAGCTGGAGCCACTGCAGTTTTCTGATACAATAATGCAGCAGAGAAAAAGGGCAAGGCAATGAAAGAGGACCTTCTGATACATGGTCAAGGCTTAATGAAGTGATATGTACCTTGTCCCAACATTTGATACAGACAAACTCTGTCTTGTTTTGTGTTCTGCACTAGCAAAAGTTGTTTACCAAATCAGAATTAAATCTAATAGTTTAGACCATGTTCTGTGTCATAAGACATAACTTTAAACAACTGTATGTGTTAGCTATGTGTGGCCAATGTTTAATTTTCTCTGCTATGGTACATGTAATTTTACTGTATAGTGACATAGTAAATTTTCTCCCCCCCAAAATAAATAAATAAACATTTTCCGATACTTATGGATAAAATAACCAGACATGTAAATTTTCTCCCAAACAAACAAACAAACAAAAAAAAATTTGTCCGATACTTTATGGATAAAATAACCAGACATGTAAATGTTTCTGTGTAGCCCAGTTCTTTTAATAATGGACCAATCAAGATACTTCACATTGTTGCAAATATTATATTAAAACCCAATAACAGCACACAGCAGTCCCTCCCATCGATTTGTAACACTGGCCACAAAGGTCAGTTTCAGAAATACTGAAGGGATGGATACCATGGTAAAATGATAATGCAAGATCTCTCAAAGAAAACGCATGTATGTAGTCTCCTAGTATACTGTATGTTCCAATAACACCAAGCTCTTGTAGAGGGACTGCCATGGGGACAGGAGAAAGCAGATGAGAACATTCTTCTTCACATCAAAACAATAAGTGTCCCAGTTCTCCTCCATAAATACTATAGAATAAACTAAGTATACGAGTGGAAAGCAGTCAAATGAAATTTGAGCTTGATAATGTCACATTTAGAAACATAAAGCAGCTTTAATCGATACTTCTGTAACAATGTATAAACAGCATGGCAATATATATAAAGGGTCTCCCGTAGTGATGAACCAAAGAATATTCACCCCAACCTTCAACTCTGCTCACCTTTGTAGAGGGAGTTTCAGCTGACTAGATGTTTGGCCCACAATTAAACTGTTCTGGTTCACTCTCACTGCATCATTTTTGGCTGCAGCAGTCAGCTGCTGTCAGCACTGTGCATGACCTGTTCAGCAACAACAATCTGACAGACAGTTAGCAACTAGCAGCAGAATACAGTGGAGCATTTAGCAGCTAAAGAGCCACACATTCCCCTCAGGAGTCGGAAAATACCAACACATTGTGCAAGATCCACAATTTCAGCTGCACACTGTACTGTGGGACAACAGTGTCCATTAAGCTCACATTCATAATCAAACATACTTTAAACGCACACCAGCGTCCTTCAACATATTCTGTTTTATCACTTTTGTACATGCACAATATGAAGAACCCCAGCTAGAAGTAGTAGTGTGTGGAATTAGGACACAGCCATAATTCTTTTATACAAGTAGTGAGGCACCATGGGAGAACTAAAGCCAATCAAGCTTTGAGATATTAGAAAAAGGTGATGCTTCCATACATCTCCAGCCATAGTAATAAATTTGTCAGTTGCAAAATAAAAACCCAGAAAACACACAGTGGATAACAACAGCTGCTGGCAAAGGGCTTTTGCAGTTTGGCTTTAATGTGCTGTGCCAAAAGTGTACAGGGACCATACAGCAGCCAGCAGCTCAGAGAGAGCAGCATCAGAATGCATGCTGTACACACAGCACAGTTAACTTGGACGTCTGGTCTTTTCCTCACTAAACAATTTATGATCCATCTGCACAGCATAGGGCACTTTTTTTCCAGGCACAGAGATGAACAGTTTGGACTTAAAAATGAGCATGAACTCAAAAAGGTCAAAGGACAACAGAACGGAAACAGCTGAATGTGTAAGTGAACAACAACAACCTGATTTAATCCTAGACCACTAATGGATGCACAGGGGAAATTAAAATGCAACAAGTCGACACTGAGAAAATGAAAGATGTACATCACCTCCAAAAGAAAAATAAAGGATGCAATAAATGTAAAACAGCTTTCACTCAAGGAATTACTACTTCCTTAATCAGGTTAGGCTATGTGATGAATAAAGAGAACAAATGTGAAATTGGATTTTAAGGCATGAGAGCTGGGTGACTGACAAACTGAGTAGTTTGAACGGGAGGAAACAAAGAGAGTTACAAATAAAACCATGATCTGACTGAAGAGAGGGGAGGAGAGATGCGCCAAGGTGGTCGGTCTGGAAAGCCAAACACAATCCATCAGGAACAGAGACCGTGGCACTCTGAGAAAGTGGAGACAAGCAAGAACACAGTGGAGGGCCCAAACAAACATGTGTGCACAAATACACAAACAATCAACCAGCCTCCCCCGTTCAGCATGCTCACCACTCATTGCAGCGCATCAATTTCTGTCACACAGGGCTGACCCATATGGCAGAGGCAACACAGGTGGTTGCCTAGGGCAGTGCCAGGCGGGGGTTCTTAGATAGTACTGTCACCCGCTCTATCCTGTTGCGGCTAAATGTCCCACTAACAAACTGATTACAGAAAACACCCCCTGAGCTCCAGCCCTGACAGTCTCAAGTTGACACTGACTGGAATAAACACTGACTGCTACCATGACGTGACAGAACTAATGCAGTCTGCAAGGCTACCCGTCATTGCCACGTAAGCTCACCATATCTCAAAGTAGCAACTCACCTAAGGCACCAGCAGATCCAGGACCAGCCTTGCTGTCACATCTCTGCTTCTCTAATCAGCTACTGCTGTCATTTGCCTTTACCCATGACACAATAATACCGTTTCATTAACTCCATCAGACTGAATTAATTCAACAAACAGGGGTCTTCTTTAGATTGAAGTGCAGAATGGAAGTGGAAACTTTCCTCCACAGTATAAATGAACATTCACAACAGTGAGACCACTCTGGAGGAAAGGTATGCAAGCCCTGAATGGTCCCCTTTTGATTGCTGTGTTGTGTGTGGTCCACCAATAGCAAACATATTAAAAAACGCCTTTATAGTTATATTTCAGTATGATTACAGACTACAGCTTGAGATGTGAAAGATTAGGTAACTGCAGTGGCAGAGAGCATCCCGAGTCACAATGAACAGTGAATTAAACAGCACTTTGGAAGATGAAACATCAACCTGGGACCTTTTTAGACCTGCATAAAAATCACTGAAGTGCACAATTAGATTTCAAGCATAGATAAGAAACTTCTTGTGAATAAGACCAATTTAAACTTTTGTTTTTATTTCCTGCACCATCTTATAAATTTCTTTTACATATCACATAAAATCTGCTTGTTCTACTCCAGTAAAAGCTTTACATCCTATTAAAGATCTGATGACTTTAGGCATTTTACCTCAGCAAAGTCGCATCTTTAACAGAAAAGGACAGTCCTCAGTGCAGCAGCTGGCACACCAAGAGATATTTAAATCAGCCCATACATGGAGTCTCTTAATAAAATACTAAAGATTGCCAGAGTCTCTCACTAGCCATTTCTTTTAGTATTAAATAGTTAACACAGAACTAGCACAACAACAGTGTTATGACTCCAACTCATGAATAGACCCAGTACAGTACTCACCGTATAGTTTGGGTTTCCTGTCTGCACTCTCAGCTCAGCCAGCAACCAGATGCCATTGGTGAGTTTCATGGACTGATACAGCATGTCCTGCCCCTCCACTGTTCGCTTGGCTATGGTGAATATGTTGCTGCCCTGCAGTTTGCTGGATGATGCATCTGTGGAATGGACATTAATGCAGTAACAAAGCCAATACTGTTAACATTTTAACTTATATGGTCTCATCTGAAAAAGCTGGTCTACTGCAATTTTTGGTATTCAGTCTGTGAATAAAGATTATTATTTAGTATAAAGAGTCTCACTGACTCCTGCCATGCACTGTGCTTGTCTACTGAAAAAGCCATTAAAATGTGCCAGACTACATAGGATTTCTTTTTCACTTAAGCCCAAAAATTTCACTCCAGGCTGTCAGTGCAGCACAGATAGTCACTAAACTTGAAATGTACTTTTCTCTCAGCCTCATCTTGCCACTGTGCCCCAGTAGGATGTGAAACCCTCGTGTTGTTCATAAATAAAGAAAATTTAAAAAAAAAAACTTCTCCATTAAGCCATCATCCAGTTCAGCTGCTCTCACACTTGTGTAGAACTAAAAATTCTCACATGCAAGGGCGGCAGGAGATGAGTTCTTACCAAATACAATTTGCTTCATTAACAAGGATCTGAATTTGAAATCACCACTGCTTTGCTGGGCTATCTTCACTTATGAAGAAACAGTAGGATATGGCTGTACCGTGTTTTTCCAGCTAATGCACTCTCTGTTGCTCCTCCTCACCTGAACTCAGATGGCAGTCTTTGATCTGAAACTGGGACTCATTGTCATTAGGAATATCTTTCCATGTGGCGAGGAACACCTGTCGCTCTGTGGGTGAAGAGATACAATCACAGGATTAGTCCAAAGATGGAGCGCTCACTGAAATGTACATCATATGAGAATAAAAATAGGATTGAAAAAATGAAAAAAGGATGAAAAAAATGCCAAAGTAGTGTGTGAGCAGTTTGATTCCACACTACACAAAAGGTTTCCTACTGTGGCTTAGGCTCTGGAGCATTAGCTAGCAGCCTCTGGCAGCAGTCCTACTGCTAGCCCCATCAGGAGGCTATGATGGGAGAAATGCCAACATTCTCACAGCATAAATCAAACAGAAACAAAAAAAAATCTAAAGGCACAAAATTGCAGCGTTGTAAACTCCAGGAGACAACTGTGCAGCCTCAAGATGTAAATGAGTTCAGACAGGAAAGTCACAGTCACAATAATATGCCCTCGCTGAAATGCTGATGAATGTCTCATTGACGTCAGCGGGGCTTGGAGGTCTTTTGAGTGAAGAGATTTAGACAAGGCACACTCACCCATCTTCCCGTCCTCTACGAACAACATGCTAATGGGGTACTGGCAGCTGAAGTAGAATACGTCAATGTTGTTCTTAACAGCCACCTGCAAGAGTGATTACATCAAAGGAGGGGGTGAAGGAGGTTGACAAGAGGAGAAACAAAAAGCAGTACACAAGTAATTACTTTTCAGATGCCCCTCAAGGATGGGCATTACAGGTTTATTGTGCCATTTACTGAACAAGAGGACTACAGTCTTACTCTTTTACAAACATACTCACACACACTGTAGGCGACACTAGACCCTAAAATATCAGCACTGGTATCAATGCCCTTTATTGGCATCTCATACTACTGTATCTCAAAGAAAGCATGAAACCAAAGAATACTAGCCAAGATTAGCTACTGCACAAACTAAATAAATCAGTCTTTTAGAAGGTGCTTTTCAAAATGATATAAAGATACAAATAAAATAGCAATATCAGTCTATAGTTAAATATTAAAAATAAAAGATGACACAAACAAGACTGACAAGAAAAAAAAGAAGGGCTATATTTAAAAAAAAAAAAAAAAATGTGGACCCTGGTGACAAAAGCACAAGACACTAAAAACACAAAATCAAGTGTGGTCCAATGAAAGAGCCTGAAGAAACAAGTGGCAGGCAGTGATCTTGATCAGACTGTTCAACAAAGAAGCGCTGAGTGAAGGACAGTAAGTTCGGCCAGAGGACTGCAGAAGAATGTCTAATGAATAATTCATTAGGTCATCCTATTGCTGGGTGCAAATGCAGGGCTGCCGGTAACACAGCGACATAAACAAACCCTTATTCTGGATGTTTGTAAACTAAAAGAGCTCTACATAACAAATATCATGAAGCTTCAGGATGAAAAATGTATGTCACCAAACTTGGTGGGGCGAGATCTGTATGTAGAAGGTCAGTAACTGACAAATCAAACACTTCATTGACAGTCCTTTCCAAACTATCAATTCTTTGTTGAAGTACCAAAGGATTTATTCAGCCTTGATACATTTGGAATCCACTGAACTACATAGCTTTTTTAATTTTCACCACTTTGATGGCTTCGAGTGCCCTACAATGGCAAAAACAGCCATGAAACTTGCACCTAAAGTTACTAAAGCATTTCCCTTAAATGTGCTGAGTTTTTGATGGAAGGGTTTCAGTCACAGTGGTGGTGTACAGGTATAAGAAAGAAAACTGCTTCCAAAAATTAGTAGTTAAAAGTGCACTCAGAGTAATGTTCTGCAACATCACCTTAACATCAAGACAAAAATAAAGCAGGGCCTCTCAAAATAAAATATCTGAGAATGTCAGAACAGACAGTACTACCCATCAAAGCAGGGCCCAGAGGCAGCACAGTAAAAAGGTTAGCAGGGCTGCTAAGGCCAGGAGAAACAAAGGAGCAATGTGTTGTGGGACCACTAATTACCACCCCCACCTCGACACTCATATCTTCTCTCTCCAGCTGCATACAGCACCCGCCCACCATTCTTCCCAGTTAAAAGAACCACCCTGATCAAAAACAAGCCAGCATTTGGTGCTCTTTATTCACAATGATTCTGGAGGCTGTTTTATGTTTTTATTCCATTTGATGCACAGCATGGGAATGTAATGCTATAGCTGAATAACAGCAGGATGCATTACTAATCATTTGACAAAGCTTAGGAGAAGACACAGTCAGGTCCATTACTATTTCATCAATGAAGCATGTTAATGCTCTAGTTCTGTAAACTTGGGATATATAAATGATTAAGAATGTAAAATACTGGCAACTGTAATTTGGTATTTGACAGATAAGCACATGTCCATGTCTGCTACATTACTACTGACAACATAATGAATCTCTGACAGAGTGCTGTCACAATGCTTGAGGCCTTGGGCCCAAGTAGGAAGACATGTTAGGACATTAAACTTGAGGCATTAGTGTCCCGAAAAAAGCCAGTGATGAAAAAATTAAAACTTCTGAAATACATAACATTTTGACAGTCATCTTGTTAAAAAGTCACATCGCTGTCAGTTTCAGTTGGGAATCAGGGTTAATGGAGAACAGAAACAGCAAAGGAAAGTTACTTTACATCCAAAACTAAAACTTGAACATTGTATTACCTGCAGATTATTGAGAGGATCCATCTTCATGACAGGGCCAACAGTATTGAGGGGAAGAGTCACTTCAATACTCTGGTTAGGGCTAAGAGGACTGAGAACCTGGAGTGGACCAGCTGGGGCGAGACCAAAGCTAAAGAGAAACAGAGGGGAAACAAGACTTCAAAAATTGTGTAAATATACATCAAATCTAAGCTTCCATTGCTTAGTAGTTGGTCTTACCTGTTTCTATTAAACTGGATGGCAAAATCAGTCATGACACTCATAGCTTTATTAGTGAGGGTCATCTCCATTTGAATGACCCCAGCACGACGGGCAAAAGTGCCCGATATCTCCAGACCCTTGGCCTTCATGGCTGGAAGCCAAACCTGAACAGAGACTTATTTTATTAGCAATCCCACTGCAAGTGCTACATAATCCTCTCAACTTAACACTCACTGTTTTAGGGGGACTGTAGGCTCCCATAGGCATACCGACCCCACCTCCGAGATCAAACAGGTCATCCAGACCACTGCTAACGGGGGCACTGAAAGACGCTGGCATTGCAGCTGGAGGAGCAGCAAAACCAGCTCCCATCTGTGGGTCACAAAGCCACATGTTACCCTGATACATTCAATGTCACAGTGAATAAAGCAACCAAAGCACAATAAAAACTCAGACAAAATTACTTACAGCAGGACTTCCTCCAAGGTCTCCACCAAGCTGGGTAGTGGCAAGCACACACACACACACACAAATCAGGTTAGCTGTTTTTGCAACATGAAACAATATTCAGGAAAGTCAGAAGATGATGGATTGAGTGGTGTGAGGGTCTAAAATGTTTTTCCATTATTAATTACAGCTATGGGGTTTACACTATTATCAGCAAGGAGGAGACACCAATTCAATCTATTGAATTCCAGTAGGTTTTGTTAAAATGCTACTCATTGTGTCTATTGTAATGATGAAAAGTTTGGTGGTACAACAAAACAACAACAAAATTGGTGGTGCAAAAAAAATGGAAAATGGTCTTCTACTGTACTTGTACTGTGTTTTTCTACACATTAAATGCACTCAAGACTATTTTCCATTCACACACTGGTGATATCACCAGGAGCACCTAGAGGTTCAGTGTCTAGCTCAAGGAAACTTCATCACGTGGACTGGAGAAGCCAGGGATCGAACCGTTAACCCTACAGTTAGGGGACAACCCACTCTACCTCCCGAGCCACAGCTGAAAGTGATTTCACACAGTGACAAAACCAAACTACTGTGTATGGAGGACAACACTAAAATCTCACTTGTATGGACGGAAGACTATTTCAGAGATCAGTGGTACAAAAGGGGACTAAAGAGGTTCTAGGATGGTGCTGGCTTTAAATGGTCCCCTGGACCAACCTCAGTGGGGCTGTATTCTGGGAGTGATGAGGACTGTTATGGGAGCTGAAGTGTCTGAGGAGTGTCTATTGGGAGGTGAATGGGCGGCTGATTGAAAGATGAAAAACAACTGTATATTCCAGAGATAAAACAAGCGTACTTGGCAGCATGCTTACTGTGTATATATATA